CAATGATGCTAAATTAATTTAATTACAAGCAATGATGATTCTTGTTACTTCTCAAACAGTTTAATAAACTTATCTAACTCACAATAAATCAGCAAGAATGAATGCTTACCATTTTTTAATTTGATGGCGCTTTTGCAGATTACTCTATATATTTTCAATTGTAAACCAATCCGTACATGAACCGATGAATAAGATATTGTTTCAAAAAAACAACCAAAATTAACATTCAGTGCATAAAGCGTTTTTAAAACTGCCCTAAAATATAACTATATATAACATACAGTTTCTTTTTCTCAATTCTCTTAACTTTTAGGCATGTGTCTCTTTTTAGCTCTTCGCCGTAACTTGGCGAATTTTACTTGCAATTTAAATTAAAGTACTTGTTTTTAAATAATCACGAAATCTTTTCCAAGTCAGTTGCGCTCTCACTTTTACAAATGAAATCAAATATTTCATTTTTACTGTATAAAAGGACTATACATTCTGGAGCTTGGCAGCTTTAAACTGAAAGTTATCACTTTTTCTGAGTAATATTATAGATGGAACCGAATTTGATTTTCTTTACGTCGCTGATGACAACGATGTTTATGGTGAAAGCAAGGAAGATGACATGCACCTTGCTTGAGACTTATGAGCATCCTCGATAGAGATAGAGACTTAGGACCCTCTACCAGAGATTTAAGAAAGCTGCTAAAAATTTTCAATTTGGATTTTGATGTTAAAAAGTTTGATTAACATATATTAGGATTAAATAAAATAAAAATTTTTGCATACCGTTTTGAACTCGTCTAAAAGATGACCTCTCCATTTCAGTAGTAAAAACTCTGCCAAAAACTCTTTTCTTATACACGAAGGTATGCAGTACTTGTTCATTGATAGGAAAGAATTCAATATTAGATGAGAAAAATACAAATATTAAAGATAAATTCTTTGCGACATCAAAATGCGAAGAATAAATAATGTAAAATTTTATAAATATGAAATAAAATTATTTTTTTTCGCTAATTTAATTCATTAATAGTTTTTAAGGATGTATTTTTGCTGTAAATAACCATTGCTATTTTTTAAGTAAAGTTCAAAGCATAGTTAAAATACTTTATATGTAGAATCTGCATTATATTATTAGAGCAAAAGTTTTAATTTTATCCTTTATAAAATATTTTGAGAAATAAATCTTAGAACTGCTTTTAAATGACGTATTTCGGGTACATGATTTTAATTTTGTTCTTCCTTAGAAACACTTGAATTTGTATTTTTACTTCCTTGTGCGAAGTAAACGAAGTATTGCAATCACGAAAAATTCCGGGCGTCATATTTCAACGAAAATATCCATTTTGACAGCTATCGCATGCACGTTTTAACGTTGTTTGTACGTGATATCTGTACTTAAAAACAGAATAAAAGACTTTTTTTCCACAGACGAACTATAAAACTGATTTAAAATGGATTCAGAAGAGATTTTTTTTCGTGGTATCTGTACATACGTACATACGTATGTACGTATGTATGTATGTATCTCGCATAACTTTAAACCGAGTAGCCTCAGAACGTTGAAATTTTGTATATAGGACTGCTTTGTATTAGCAGAAGAGTGAATTCAATTTTTGCACTTTGAATGTCTTTTTGCCGAGTGGAGCCAAAATTAAACTTTCATTTATGTGCACCGAAAAATCTGCCTTGTTGCCTGTAGACCGAATTGCTTGTTTTTGAGTAGAAATTCTAATTTTAACAAAACAGTTTTTTTATTTATTTTTTAAACTGAATTTCGTGTTTTATTTTATTTTATTTTTCTATATATTTTTCAATTTTTAAGGAAGATATTTTGAGGTTTTATGTATTTTTGCCTTACCGCGAACTGAGACCCGAATTTTATGAATAAGAAATGTATTTCTAATAAAATTTCAGAAATTAAGTTTAAATGAAATGCGTCAAAAAATGCGTTTAATTTAATATTCCGTACAAGGAAGTCATGTGCTGTACACATCAGATTTTTTTTTGCAAGTATATTCAGAAATTAAAGTGATTCGAATATGTTATGCATAAAAATTTGAAGAAATTTTTTAATGCTTGGAAATTTGAAAACTAAAAAAATGTGGCATATTTTGAAAATTACAACTAAATAATTCATTTCTTTTGTACATATATTTAAATAGATTCACTCAAAATACTTAAAATGTGTGTGTAAATAATGTTATAAAATAAAATGTTAAGCTTATTTGATGAATATAGTTTTATGAAAATGTATTTAAATATTGAAAAACCTCATTTTGAGAAAAAACATAAAAAACCTACTAAATAATTATCTCAACTCTTTAGATATATATTAACTTCCTTGCATCAAGATATACCGAATAGACCGAATTGCTTGTTTTTGAGTAGAAATTCTAATTTTAACAAAACAGTTTTTTTATTTATTTTTTAAACTGCATTTCGTGTTTTATTTTATTTTATTTTATTTTTCTATATATTTTTCAATTTTTAAGGAAGATATTTTGAGGTTTTATGTATTTTTGCCTTACCGCGAACTGAGACCCGAATTTTATGAATAAGAAATGTATTTCTAATAAAATTTCAGAAATTAAGTTTAAATGAAATGCCTCAAAAAATGCGTTTAATTTAATATTCCGTACAAGGAAGTCATGTGCTGTACGCATCAGATTTTTGTTTTGCAAGTATATTCAGAAATTAAAGTGATTCGAATATGTTATGCATAAAAATTTGAAGAAATTTTTTAATGCTTGGAAATTTGAAAACTAAAAAAATGTGGCATATTTTGAAAATTACAACTAAATAATTCATTTCTTTTGTACATATATTTAAATAGATTCACTCAAAATACTTAAAATGTGTGTGTAAATAATGTTATAAAATAAAATGTTAAGCTTATTTGATGAATATAGTTTTATGAAAATGTATTTAAATATTGAAAAACCTCATTTTGAGAAAAAACATAAAAAACCTACTAAATAATTATCTCAACTCTTTAGATATATATTAACTTCCTTGCATCAAGATATACTATATTAACTTCTTGCGCCATAATCCTATAGTGGTGGTCATTCTGAAGCTTAGCTTATTATTTTATTTTGTTTTCTAGGCAATCTTGCTTGACGAATTATTTTTAAATTAGATTTTACTAATTTTTAAAATCTCTTAAATGTTAGTATAAATCCCTGAAGCTTCAGTTATCCCTTTCCACCAATAATACTTTCATTAATACTTTCATTAAAACGTATAACTGTATCTACCTCTTCGGTTTCTAATATATTTATACCAACAAACCTTCCTTTTTGTGTTTGTTTTGCCCATGCTTATATTCAGGTTAATGCTCTTTCGAACTCAGCTCTCTTAAACATTTTTATTGCTAACAAACGTAGCAAAGGGATGCTTATATGTAATATTGTTAGCATAAATTGAGCATAATAATTGGAAAAAATACTGGTAAGTCTCAGTTTAAAACTATATGAAAGAAACTTTTTAAAAATTCTTGCTTTAAACAAAAGGTTGCTCGACTTTGTTACTTTATATAGTTTATATAAATTTATGAGCATTTATTACTTCAAATCTCAACATGTTATATATTTATGAAATCAGCAGTAGTAACTTTTATTTTCAAACTGAAACTTGGAAAATCAATTTTAGAAAGATAAATCGTTAGCGATTTCTAGAACAATTTCACAAGTATAATAGTACATAGGAAATCCTGTTTCGTGTACATATGCTAGTACTTTCAGATTCAGGTCTGTTCTAAATGCAGTCATTTTTTTAGCATAGTAATATATAAGATTCGATTCTTTTTTCATTACAGGAAAAACAGGTGAAATTTGTCAGTTATTTTTACCTAAGTGCTTGACGTCAAGGCCTACGTCAGGCTAGAATCCTGCATTATACGGATCAGTAGTCTGATATTTATATGACAGTTGTCAACCTCTAGTTTATAAATAGCATACTATTCCTAGAAGGTTTCGCCCTGCTGAGGTACATATTAAATACATGAATTTGGCAGTTCTTGTCTGTTTATTTAGTCTTATCTCCATCTGCTTGTTATCTTCCTAAAATATCGCTTAATGATCTTCTAATGTATTTAAGTGCAAAACAAGAAAGCATAAAGCACGCTACGTCTTACATATTAGGACACTTAAAGTGGTGTCAGTGGTGCTTAGGATAATAGCAACCAAGCTGTTCTGGATTGGGCTGTCCAAAATTCAAATTATAAGAGTTATACGAAATTCAGAGGACATTGAACTAAAATCAAATTTCATCAACTGCTCATTCTTAAAAATATAACTTCAAATTCTTGCGTCAAAATACGAAATTGCAGCAACAGTCATATTTTTTTTTTCGACAATGGTACATACTGAATAAGTGAATTATTACATTAAATCCTTTAAACTGTTATTATTGTTATGATTGCTAAATCATTATCCCATTACGAAACTAAACTTCGATCTATCATGCGTAACGCGTTAAAAATACGTTTTATATATTGAGTTTCCAATAATGAGACAACATAATGTTTAATTGGGTTAGAAATATTTTAGTTTTGTGTCAGTATACTTATACATAAAATTTTTCTGATACCATTAGCATTTCATAATCGACGATAAAAAAATAATTTTTAACGAGTTTTTCAAATTCTAATAAAGCCACGCTTTATTTCCGATAATCGTAAAATTCCCATTATTAAATTCGTTGGAAATAGAACACACTTCGTTTGAAAGTCTTGCAGTATGATGACAGAGAATTTTAAATTGTGCTATGATAAAATACCGTCTCTGTTTGCGTCTTTAAAAAGCCTTTCAGATTTTTTTTGCATACTCTACGAGGGCTTTGAGATTCCCTTGACAGTGGAATTCCGTGACACGTGTCCCTGTTTCCTTGTGGAAATAAAGTCTTGTTTTCAACAAAACAAAACATATATTTATGAGAATATTAATTATTTTAGTAGTTTTTATGACTTTTTTAATACAGTTTATCAATCTTTTCGTATTTTCTTTCAGTGGCATGTCTCACCTGCAGTGTACTGACGCTTTCAGCGATATCATGTGACCGATTCATGGCTATCATGTTTCCACTTCATGTTCGAATTACTAAACAGCGGACTTCAATTGTTATGAAGATCATATGGCTTATCTCTATACTTGTATCAATTCCCTTTCTTATTTTCAAAATACATAAAGTTGAATCAGTAAGTAGACATCTTTGTATAATTATATGAAAACTATTAATCATTTTCCAAACGCATTATTTTTAATGAAAACTCTGATAGTGATTTCAGTTCAAAATGGAGCACTTGCAGTCTGTTCCGGAATTTATGTTCTCTCAAATGTTAAAGAGTTTGGCGTTATCTTTTAGATTGAAATTTATATTTCTATCAGTAATACTTGAATATGTAAAACTTCTAATCTCTAATGAGGTTATAATAGTGTTTTATGAAAAATAACATGATTATTATGTGAAAATTCAATTTTCATTAGAACAAGTTATGTTCGATCTAAACTTTAACATTACTGAAGTTTTCGATCTAAACTTTAACATTTGTTATATTGGGCTGAAGTATTTAGACATCATTCTGTGAATGAAACTTTTATATTAAAGCAATTTTCTAAGATATAATACTAAAATCTCCATTTTACTTTTCAAAAGATCCGAATTAGTGCCATAACGAAAAACATTTGAAATTGTATCTCGCTTTCCTGAACAAAGTCCAAACAGAAACCAACATTTTTATTCCTAGCTAATGTTAGGGCGACAGTGAACAATGTGAAATTGCATCGTGAATTTTTCCCGGTATCAGGATGACATAGTTTAGACTGCGACCATGAAAATTTTCTTTCGTTTATACTTACGCATCAAGTTTTGAAAGATGTGTCTCAAAATATCTCCGAAGTTTGAGGTATTTAAAAACAGTGTTATTTATGCTCAGCATAAAACTGGACGTATACAGATCATCTACAGAGTTTGATGACTAAGATAAAAAAATCGGAAGTTCAAGGAAACAATTTTTTGGGCAATTTAGCAAACATCCTGGTTACTCTATGCAATGCCACCACGTTGGATCATTTGCACAGCTGGGTAATCAGCTGGTTTGCGCAGCTATTGTAGAACTCATCTTTTGGAATACCTATTCAAGTCTCAGGTTACAGTTTTGTGATTCTCTTCAAATTTTATTTTAAAGAACAGTTCTAGTTTAGACTCCTCATTAAGATTTAGAAAGAAGTCTACAAGTGCCAAATATAGCGAATGGGAGGATGACTGAGAAATATGACTCTTTTGTCAGAAACTGCTTCATGAGAAAACAAATTGTGTAACGACGCATTGTTTTGCAGTTATTCAAATGAGCTTTTAAGGCCTGAATTTGGTTCAAAAGTCTTCCTTTAAAACTATAGAGTTCACCATCTGTTCCTCAGGAAAATATTTGAAGTGAATTATCCCTTCTAGCAAAAACGTTACTTAAGATTTGTGAAACCAAAATTTCTGTAGCTGTTAGATTCTCCAAGTAGGTGATTGCTGTTTATTCTCAGCATCATAAGAAACCATCACGTTTTTATGTAAAGTCAGAATTTGTTTTAAAAATTCAGGATTTATTTCCATATCCAGCAAAACTTTAATGCTCTTCTTTGCTCACCTTTCGAATCCATGATAACAGATCAAAACGCATGCTTAAATGCCAAGAAAATTCTATCCGTTAGCTAATATTTTAGGATTCGAGATGTAAAATGAATCGTGTAACAGATTGCTCAAGTTAATTACAAAAATTTAGTCCTAACACTTTGTCCATGCATTTATAATTAAACATTTGGATCGTAGTGAACGATCCAGTAGTGAACTGTACGTAAATTGTATGTAAACTGAACTTATCTTCACCCTTTCTACTATTTATGCACAAAAATAATTAATGGTGAAAGCCGCGGATGTAACATTTTGTAAGTACGGTGATTTGCTCTAGTCGGTAATCGGTTATCAGTAAAATAAAAAAATTTGTTTCTTGAATAAATTGATGCGAACATACAAAGAGGTAGTTCTTTATCTTTAGTTAATTTATACACTTTTGAAGAAATCATTCCGAATTTTAAGAAGCAAAACCAGATTGCACTGGCCAATAGTGACGAAATGACTGCAAAACTAGAGTTTTAAAGCATTAATGAGTACTTTTATTATTTTTTGAGCTTCTGTGTTATTTATGTAATTATAGCAAAGCATTTGAGGACTATCTGCCTAAGGGAAGGAATGCTTTCGTAGAGGACTTTCTAATGAAAAGTGGCTCTTATATAAAGTGACCACACGTCCCGATTTTGGCGGGACAGTTCCGCTTTTCGGAGGACTGTCCCGCGTCCCGCCGATTTTTTAAAACATCCCGCTTTTTAGAAAACATCTGCATTTCTTATTTTAAATGTACTGTAAGAATACATTACCTATTATTTATTAATTATTATAGTGAATATAAAGAAATAAAAAATACATAAATAAAAAACACATAAAATGCATGCAGAGTAAACTAAATTAGGCGATTTAACGAGTTAGATTTACTCGGTGGTGTTCGATTATTGTCGTTACGTCTCGCCAAGAAATATGTATTGTTAACGAAGGAATAGTTAACATTAGCTGATGGGCTATTTGCTTTCCACACCATAAACCACAATCAAAGTTTCAGATCAGCTGATTGTATGCCGCAAATGATCAAAACATTGTACGACAAAAAATATTCATGTGCAAGGACAAAATCCGAAGCAATTATTTGTAATATTTTTTCACCATATTCGTTTTCACAATTGCATAAAGAATTGGATTTTAAATGCACATTTATATCTATATATTATGATGCTTTCAACCACAAAGATTTAAAATTATTTCCCATAATTGTTAGACTTTTTGATCCAGAAACAGGAATTAAAATTGTAATATTAGATTTTGTTTCATTGCCGGGTGAAACTTCACGAATAATTTTTGATTCAATAAGTACTATTTTAAAAAAGAATAATTTGAACAATAAAATTATTGCCTATTGTGAGGATAACACTAACGCGAATTATGGTGGTAAAGCTAGAAGAGGCATCAATAACGTTTTTACGAAACTTAAAGAATATTTGAATCAAAAAATTATCAGAGTAGGTTGTGCAGCGCACATTCCACACAATACTATTCAAACAGCATCTCATTTACTTCCAGTGGATATTGAAAATATTATTGCAAAAATTTATTCGTATTTTTATATATATTGAGCGGTGTTGAAAGTTCGAAGGATTTTTGTGAAAGCGCAGAAATCGAATATTAAAGAATTATTGGTTGCAGCAAAACACGATGGCTAGCTCTTTTACCAGCTGTAGAAAATATTTTTAAAACATACGAACCATTAAAATTATACTTTTCAACACACGATAAATGTCCAAGAATATTGCAGCTTTTTTGAAAATTACACATCACAAATTTGGCTTCAGTTCATCCACAACCAAGCTTTATTATTTCACGATGCTGTGAAAATTATTGAAGGGGACAAAATTTCAATTACGGAAGTGTCAAATGAAATCAATAATTTGAAAACAAAATTGCGAGAAAGAATTGATAACGATCACATTTATTTACTTATTCGAAGGGACATCACTAGGTTGGAAGAACAAGGTGTAATTAAACGACCTGATTTTCCGAAAGAAGTCAGAAATTTTATAACAACTGCTTGGAATATCTTGAAGAACGGACAGCTCAGTTCGAGGATATTAAAAATTTTCATTGGGTGACATTAGAAAAAGAGATTTTATGGAAATATGTGGACAAATCTTTTTAATATATTAGCAACCATTTTCCAAAAAATAATATTTGCTAAAATGATCTTTTTGATGACGTATCATTGGTAAAAAGAAATGTTACTGATGAAAAAAATTAAATGTTGGTTGTCTGCAAATGTGGAAACAGACAAAAATGGACAGAGATATTCCTTCATTTTAAACATAGTAATATTCCTTATGAAAACATTTGAAAACTGCAGAACGCGCGCTTTCCCTTCCAAGAACAAATACAGCAACAAAACGTTTTTTGTTTTTTTTTTCTAGTGCCAATAAAATATGGGCAACTGAAAAAACGCAGTTGAACATTAAAACTTAAAAATGTGTATTAAGCGTAAAATATAATTTGACCAATTCATGTGAGAACTTGCACGACATTTTAATAAATGATCCGAATCTATTACGATGATTCTATCTATTAATTATTATTTAATAAATGTTCCGAATTACTGAGATAAAAAATATGACCGTGAAAGAAAATCATATTTTTTACTAAAATTTTAAATTAATTAAAAAACATAATATTCAAATTATTGTTTTAAAAAATACTTTTATATTTACCAATAGTTAATAATAAATATATTTTTGTATATTTATAGACAAGCCATATGAATGTGGTCACTTTACTCTTATACATGTTACACATGAAGAAAGCCACGACAAAGCTCATGCAGAATTGCCAGAATACGGACTCTGGACAGCAATACCAGTGTTCAGCAATTTTAACGCTTGGCCGCTTCTGAGACTTCATTTTTTGAGGAAAAGGCTCAATTATAGCTTATTATAGCTCAATGCTAAGTGCACAGAAGGTTTCGAATGACACTAAAACTTTTGAAAATTTCTCGGATAATTTAACGGAAACAAATCAGCAGAAGTCTGTAATTGGTATAACTAGGTGTTTGACTATGATGAGACTGTAATTTATTGGAAAGCAAGTCCGAAAACAAGACATTTTTTGGTAAATAAAGCAACCTAAGGGGCAAAAGCTCCAATCGTCGAGCAAATCCTAATGCCTATTATTAAGGCCATTAGCTCTTAGTATCCCAGAGAGAATAGTGTAAACATCGCGGTACTCGTGTTCTGGATCCAAATCCTGTCGTAAATTTCAAATTTTAAATGGGTCGGAAATAAATTCGCAATATAAGAATACTTCTCAATAAGCAAAACAAAATTAAGGATATGAGTGCAACTTAAGATGTAAAATTGCGGAACGAGCTGGCGACGGGTGTAGATAAGAGATAAAACACGGGGAGATATCACAGTCTAAGTGTCCTTGAGCAGAACTCATATGAGGCATTGACAAAATCGAAATGTTCTTAGTACAAGATACTCAAACACATAGAGTAAGTGGTATAATTGCAGCCAATGTTGATACAGAACGAAATACTAAGATACCGTAATGTACAAAATGCAAAATAATAGACTCAAAATATAAAGTCATAACGTCAACTGCGAGTTATTCACATATTATTGCTTAATATGGCCATTAGCCGTTTGATATTATCTGGAGAGCAGCAATCATAATTAAAAATTGAGAAGATGGAATGGCTATTTTCTCTGAAACGTTTATGAATGTTGTGCGGTAGTTGGTGATAGGTAGCGCGTAACTGAGGAACGCCCAGTTTCTCATGTATTTTGCTGGTCCGAATATACCATGATCTGTTAGAGATTTATCTCAGGATACAGTTTCGGCTGTTCATAGTTTCCTCAGTTTATGCGGCATGAAAATGTCCATATAAGGTTAACATATCAAAGCATAGGAAGCAATATGATTGTGTAAATGAATAACTTGTTATCAGCAGAGAGAATCCGGCAATTAAAATTATATATTAGTGATGGTACCTTCAAGCTTTTATTGATGTACCAATCAGAAAATTTGAGGCTCTTAAACGCATTGATACAATACAATTACTGTTGCATTTCGCTCACATCCAAGTAGTGGACAATTTCGGTGAATGATTTAGCCATCACATTTACTGTAGTAGAATGTTTAATACACAGGATCTAAGAGACCATTCACATCTTAGGTGTACCACCTAAAGCATTTGGGCAATAATGAATGACAGTCTAACAATCATGACTATATTTCTGTATGAAATTTTTTCCGATATTTATAGTCCTTATCAAATCAAGTTGCAGCCATTCATTGGAAGGAAAACTATATAATATTAATTTAGGGCCTCTTTTTTATAATTTCAGTAATATGGAAGACTGCAGTTATTATAAAACCAATTTTCATCCTTTTATAAAATGTAAGATTCTACAAACAACATTTAAGTTCTTTTTCAGTAAAGTGGAATTTTGTACTTCACTTTTTGTCTTTTTCCGAGATTTTACTTACAACATACATTTGTAGAAAAAAGACCAATCTCGCTGTTTAGAACTGTATATAAGTGATAATACAATATTGTTAACTGATAGCAGCCTCCAATGATTGTGCAGTTAAGACCACTGAGTTCCTAGAATTCGATCCGGTTTCAATTTCAGGAGGCCAGTCTGGCTACATGGTTGGTTTTTGTGGTAATATGAATACGTAACACTTTAAAATGTTCTCGAAGAAGACTTTCGTTCTTTCCTCTAGGCAGATAGCCCGTGTGTGTTTTGCCATATTCAAATATTGTAACCTATCAGCCGGTGGAATGTACGTACAGGAAATTAAGTTCATAGCATTAATCAGGTTCATTATATGCAGTTGCTATCAAAATATGTCATTGGTAGGTAATTTTTAAAATTTCGCGTTACATTTGCATAACATTTTAGGAAAACCTATGAAAGGAAAAATAAATTGCATTACATAATGTGAAGCCAGAAAGAAAAACGTTTGTACTGGCTTTTTACTGGCTTTTTATGGACTTAACGCGCAGTCCCGTTCAACATTTTCAGCAAATAAATCTGTCGCCAAACAGTGAGATTTAGCGCTTGTAATGAATAATCACAGCACAGTTACAAGACTATCGCTTTGGCGTTTTGCAACCCGATTAATCCTCGATAAGCGTATTTAGTTTTATCAAAGTATAATGATTTATTATCTATTCTATTTTTCTCTCTCATTTTGAAAAAAAATATTAAAATTTGAAGCTTACCTTCAACGAAACAACATGTAATGGACTGGGACATAACTCGAGCGGTCCAAAATTATATACTAAATTCCCAAATTGTATGTGTTGATTGTGTAAGTAACTTCAGAGCGCTTCAGCCGCAGTCAGCAGGGAGGGATCTTAGCCAACTTCGACGATCGACAGGAAAATACATAAGTATGTAACTTTCCGTTATTGTAACATAAAAAAAGCAGAAAAATAGTTCAACAATGCAATAGTATCAACCCATTATTTAAAATATTACTTGTATCTCTAAAAGAATTATTTTTTTGCAGTATATAGATTTTGATGTAGCGACATGTCGGGAACACTGGCCCTTGAATATTTACTACGACGAAAGTATCGGAGGATGCATGTATGAAGAAACACTGCGCAAGGTTTACTATATAGTAGTAAGCGTGGCATTATATTTTCTCCCTATTGGTATCATGATTACAGCTTATTCACTAATACTGTGGAAATTGTGGATTTCTGAAGTACCAGGAGAAAGACATGCAGCGAACATAAATGTGCAGTATCGAGCTCGAAAAAAGGTATGTTTCATTCATAAGTTCATAGCATTAATCAGGAGATTCATAGTCTCAGTTTAATTAATTAGCTTTATTTCAACATATTGAAAATTATAATACAAAGTGTTTAAAAAAATGCATGACTACGATGTACAACAATTAAATAAACGGAGTTTTCGTATTGAATGACTTCAACTAAATGTCTATTCTACACTATTTCAAAACAGTCTCCATGCAATTTAATGCATTTCTACCAATGCGAAAGTTATTTAAAGTTGTTTAGCTGTTAAAACCTTTGCCGTGTTTCGTTTAATGTCTTCGACACCATTAAATCGATGTCTTATTATTGCAGATTACTACTTTCTGAAAACGAAAAATCGCACATTTCGAGATCTAGTCTTAGGGTGCATGTAATGAAGGAATCTTTATCGTTATAATAGTTCAAGAATTTCAGTTACCAAGAATCGTGAATGAACTAGCGCTTGATCATGCTGAAAGATCCAAACTCTCATCTCCAAATGTGCCTTATTCCCCAAAATCAGTCCTTTAAATGCTCCAAAATCTCACAAATATTTGCATTATCAATTTGGCTCTGTACTGGTTCTTTCTGTACACGAAACTACGAATACAAAAAAATTCTCGACCATCTAAAAAATATTCATTCACACCTGTCTGCGACATGCAACATTCACTATGCACTCCTAGCAATTTCATAATTATTCCAAAGCGTAGTTGACCCGTTTTACTGAAAACTTTTATAATAGTTCTCGGCTCTATTTTATCGTACCAGCCATTTCTATAAGTGTTTCTGTGAGACTAGTTTTATGAACATTTAATTCGGCGTTCCTTAATGCTACTATCGAGCAACCTGATAGGTACTTGCTTTGCTATGAGCGTATAGTCTCGTGCCAGTGTTGCCAGTTCTGGAATTGCAAAATAGTTATCTTTAATTGATTGTTGTATTTCGTAAATATATCTTTAATGAATTGTATTATTCAGTCTCAGTTCAATGGTTAAATGAAATAAGGTGCTTTTAAACTGCAACAATTTAGTATGATGCTTTTTAGTAGGAACATGCACTCTGCTGTAATGCTGGAGCAGCAGACATAGGAAAATTCCAATTTCTAAACTTTTTCATTTTTATCTGAGATCTGTCCAGAATAGGAAAATTCCAATTCCTAAGCTTTTTCATTTTTATCTGAAATCTGTCCAGAATAACTTTTCCCAGTGATGTGTAAAACGGATCTTGGAAAAACAAAAATTTAAATCATATGGTTTAATCACTTTAAGTTTCAATCAACGAAACGAAACGGCCGAGAATCTTGTTTTACGGGCCATATGAATCGTAAGTTATACTAAATGATAAACTTTTAATTTTAGCATTTCTATGAATGAGAGATTGAAAACTTTCTATTTGTATTCTTACTTTTAAACCTTTCAGAAAAACTGCATTCAAAAATATATCTGCATAACTCTAGCTATATCACTCAAATATCTTAATTAATCATACCGCCAGCTATTTTGATTCTGTTTGGAGCGACTTCTTTTACTCATTTTGATATAAAAAAATATTGTTTTCTTAGAAATATAGTCAAGAGATCATAAATAACAAAAAATATTTTTAAAGAACTTGGTTTAGATTTTTAACTTGCTAAGCGCTGGATTTTTAAGTGCTTGTTTTAGATGTTGTAATTCATGATAAGAAAGAATAAGAAAATATGTCGAAGGAAATTTAACTAATAAAATTGGAAGCTTAAAAAAGTTTGAAATACGGAGGAAGAGAGGTGTATGTTGAACCTCGAGTTCGTGCTCTCCGGTGTTAACACCACCTCTTTTCGCCAAGACCGGTTTTTACTGTGACTGCTTACCACTGCAGAAGGAAATTCATTTCATTGAGCAGTTAACCCTTTCCGGCACGCTACCTTTTAAAGTTAGAGTTTTGATTAGAAAAAATGTTAGGCAGTCTAATTAGGCCTAGAAGAGTACACAAGTAAAATTTTGTGAAGATAGCACTTATCTTTTAATTCTGTGAAAGTGCCCAAAGTGAACACACTGATTGAATAGAGCTTCGAAAAGAGTGCTAAAACGAGCATTGTTGTCAATGAACTGACCGATGAGATGCGGAGAAACAAAGAATACAGTTGTCCTAGATTATCCGTGAGCCCGGTGGGGGAACACCTAGGGTTCGCCGTTTGATTTTAGGCAAGATTTCAAGGTAAAAATTTAAAACTAATATAGAATAAGTAGATTAGCATACAGCCAAAAAATAACATATAAATTTCTTTTCAAACAATTCCTTTTATACACTAAAAAAAATCTGGAAGATTTCTTTGAAAAATGAGGGTCTTAAAAAACTAAACATGGCTAAAATATATGGACTGGTTTGTGTTGAGCTGCCATCTACTATAAATAAAGAAGGTTCAGAGTAACCTATAGTAACCTATAAATCCTTTTTCATTCAATTTTTCTGTGCTTACAGAAGGAAATTTTTAGGTGTGTCCAGACCGGACACACTGTGCCACAAAGGGTTAAGGAGTTAACAGTTTAATACAAGGCATCCCCCTTGAAAATATGAAATTCTCCCCGAGGTTGAATTCTCCCCCTGGTTTAGACCCCCTGCTATGGGTAGTCCATACTGAAAAATCTCAGATGTTGATGCTTCTATGGTAGCTCCTTCAGAAGAAGGTTTGTTGAACCTTTTCCCAAATCAAGTAGCATTGTTTTAGTAAGCTTTTATATTAACATATGATTTTATATAAATAAAGTATTCGTACATTAAAATAAACATAATTATTATTAAACAGGGCGTGTTATTAAATGGTGTTCAATTAGGAAATATTTTTGAAAATTGATGTTTAACATATTATTTAATGAAAGAGTACAAGTTTTTGTTAAATTTGTTAAGCTATTTAGACATAATTCCTTTTTTTCTTTCGTAGGTTATTAAAATGGTATGTGTAGTCCTAGTGGCATTCATTGTTTGCTGGACTCCATTTCAAGTGGTAGTTCTGCATTCCGCATATAGCTCCATTGATTATGTAGTAAGTTAATTTATTTATAACATGTACATAATCTTTTATTTCATACTGAAGCTTTTTTGAGAAACTTAAGCATTTAATTAATACTTATCTCAAAATTTATAAGACACACATTTATCATAAACCACGTCTTCTTATTTCTGTTTTAAATTATGTTTCTCGCTTAGGCTATAATGCATACTTTAATCTTTCATTAACAACATATATCATGAGTTCCCCCCCCCTTTTTATCAATCTTATTTCAACGAAAATGAAAACCCTAGACTGTGAATAGAATGCTATGCGAAAGAGTGACAATATGATCTGTGACAGAAATAATTATTTATGCTTAGTTACACAGTTTACATCCTTTCTCACAGATTACCAAAGATAGTTAGATACTTCCCTAAAAGATATCAAACATGTTTGTTAAAATTAACAGAAAAGCAGAAATTAACGTTGCAAATTTATGTAACTATTTGTTTATTTGTTTGCAGCTTATATTTTATGTATTTTTATAGTTTTATGTATAGTTCATATTTACTTATTTATTTAATTAACGCATTATGCATGTTTATTTAACGCATATATATGTTATACTAAAAGTAATCAAATAAGCATCTCTAATGAAGAGATATCAAGGTCTGAAGCAAATAGCAATGTATAGTGTAACGACAAGGTGCACTATCACTGATCCTTTTTACAACATTACAGTTATAGCTAAAACTCATGAAACGCTGCTCATACGAATTACTAATTAATAGAAGTGAGAGGCTACGTACTTTCATTAATGAGAAACGAAATCGTTCCATGTTCTTTCGTGGCAAGCATCATTCAAAGTTCCCTCGATAAGAAGCTTTCTGTACCTGAATTAAAGTCAAATCAGCAGGTTAGAATTAAATGCTAATCATCTTAAAGCTACAGATTAATTAGAGGAATTTAAAAGTATTAAAAAATTACTTTTAAATCTAAAAGTATTAAATTTAAATGTAATTAGCATGAATTAGTCCAAACCGTCCTAAAGAAGATACATGACAGTGACATCAATGAACCTTCTATTAATCCTTCATCATCACCTATCCTGCTGATCTGCAGACAAAGGATACATTTCACACAATTATGTGCACTTTGACAGAAAACTATTTTTCTTTTTTTTACTCTGCATACTAATAGTATTTACTGGCAAGGGGTATAGAGATCGTTTTCGGCGACATTTGAACTTATAACAAGCATGATTTTGAGAGGATTCTCATATGAATCCTATCTTGTTTATCTCGATAATATTATAAGAGTTTCACACAAATCTGAGGAATATTTAAGAATCATAAAATTGCTTCAGATACATAAGGGATGGTAATTTGAGAAAGAAAACGCAAATTATTTCGCTAAGATATTAACTATGTCAATCAAAACAGCTATACAGACAGTTTGTGCACAATTCCGAAAAATCGAAGTTGTTCGTGTCGGGTATCATACTCAAAACGTGCACCAATTTAAGTGTTTTCTTGTCGTTGCATGTATTCCTGAAGATTTCTTAAATCTTTAACTAGGATCACAAAGCCTTTATATATCCTAACAAAAGAAAAACCAAAACTCACTGCCTTGAAGTGTGCGATCAAGCATTTACATCCCTAAAAGAAGCCTTAATATCCGTCTTGTTTTAGTATATCGGGAATCTGAATATGACTTTAATTTCAGCACTGATGACAGCAATGAAGAGATCGAAGCAGCTCTGTCTGAATTTATTGTTATTGGTATGTTGTAACCTATTTTATAAACGTCTCTCAAAGTTACAAAGATATTAGTGTAACATAGAAAGAATTCTTAGGTATTAGAAGTCGTAAAGGCATCAGAACATTTTCATCATTATCTCTTCTACCGCCAAATTCTGCTTGCACACTGATTGTGTCTTACTAAGTCGACAAGTTTATCTAGAAATTCGGATGGTCTAGTAGCTAAATGGATACAGCGGCTACAAGAATGCTACATGGAAATTCAGCGTCGCAAATAAACTTGGCATGAAAATTGTGACGCTAATTTCAAGAAGATCTTGCACTTTAAAGTCCATTTACTGTTCAAATGCCAAAGAATAAAGAATCAAGCTTTGAAGTCATAGTGTTCAGATAAGTTAACGCAGACTTCAGATAACTTAGTCTAGTAGAATATTAGAGATTAATTCATGGAACAACGAAGGACGGAGAAAGGCCAAAATTGAAAGTCCTGAAAGTAGACCAATAATCTAATTTTAAAAAAATTTTAAATCCAGCTAACAGAAAATGCCGTCCTTTAATCTGACAGTGAAAATGTTGTTTTGCCTCTATGGGATTCGCTTTACCTGCAAGACGGAGTTCTCTACCACAAATGGGAAGTCGATGACGAAAAGACTTTTAGATGGCAGTTCATGTTAGAGCTCTGTCCGAGCTCACAGTAGCTTTTTAGAGGCCTTTTGGTTTGGTTTATTTAGTTATAGCAAAGCACACTAGGGCTTTTTGCCTAAGGAGAAGGATGCCTGCGTGGAGGATTTTCTAACGGAAACTGGCTCTTATAGACGTTGCACATGGGGAAAAACCACGAAAACGCCCATGCAGCCAGCCCGTTCGCGGGATTCGAACCTCGGACCGAACTACCAGTACTCAGCGACTTTACCGCTCGGCCGCTGGTGGGCCAGAGGCCTTTTTAGTGTAACACAGGTATTCCGTAAACTAATGACTTTTGGGGGAGATAAGTCTGAAACGAATGTGAAAGCATTTTTTAAATCTTCTTATGCGTGTGTAGCATGTAAGGAGTTCTGCTCACGTGAATGAGGATGATTACAGCTCTATAAAGCGTAGAGTGATTATAATTTTTCGGACACGAGAAATGTGACAAATCAACGATGCCATCACTGGTATTCGAATTGCGGTACTTCAGGTTTCTAGCCTGACGTTTTTCCTACTACGAAACGAAGGCAAACGGTGAGAAAGAAGAAAGTTTCTTATTCTTTTTCCCTCTGAAAGGGAGAGTTGCGAGAAAGGGACCCAATCGCCAAATCTATGTGATGATGTATCCACCACATTTTAGTTCCGGCGTTATTTATAAAAGTTTTAGAAATTTCGAAATTTGAAGCATAAGAATATCAACTATGTCTTCGAGAGGATTTGACCTCTGAATCTTCCGATTGCTAACCGGGGGTTCTGCCAATTACGCTACGAAGCATACAGGAAAATAAAAGAAAATTTTAATATTTCCTCTTTTATGAACGGGCGACTGGGAAGAAGTGGGGTACAGTCGTTAAATTCAGGTGGTGACGAATGATTATCCACTGTGTTTAGTCGGCCACCACTGTGTAATCTATTGAGCTTTTTAACGAGGAAACAAGAGAAATCAGTAAGGCCATCTCTAAGTTGCCATATGTGGACATTTCGACTGCTAGTCAGACGTGCTATTCATTACATCACATAGGCAAGGGGTGATGAAAAAACATCTTACATGTATAGGAGCACGATTTGAAAGAATCCCTTTGGAAATTCTCATATTTTTGCTTCGTACAACTAAGGATAACATATGTTGTATGTAGTTATCATAGACTACATTAGTAATGACAGGAATCTTTTGCTTATGGAAGAGCTTCGACTGTCGCAGAAATTCTAATACAGAACAAGATTTCTCGATTTGTAATGACTCATTAATCACTTTGAAAAAGAATTTACATTTGCCGTATTTGAAGAATACAGATTCATAAGAATGCAGAAGATACAGTATACAAATACAGACTCCTCATCAACTTCATCTGAATCCGTTTTGATCCGAACGGATAATCGTTTAAGTAAAAGTGTTTACCCCTGCAAGAAATTATATATTTTTTTCTTTTACGACAATGCTTGTTTGAAATGTCTATAAAAAAGTTTATAACCCTTTGCCATTGGCTGAAATTTGACTTGAGCGCATTTGAAAAATGTTGCCTGCTGGATAGGACATAAAAAAGTCATCAAATGAAATGCAGCGCCATTTTATAGAATTTATTTCAACATATCAAACTATCCGAAAGCATGTTTTTTAACATTTTTTTTTGTATGAAAGTATTTTTGTAATTCATGTAGTAAATAAATTATGAGCGTACTATATTTCAAAAGCTTTTAATGAATTTTTTTGTTTTTTAATGTTTTTAACGTATTTTTGGCGAATATCTGGATTTGTTTTTTTTCAGGCACCCAGATGGATGGACAGCTTCGTTTTTTTCGCTTACTACCTAGCTTTTGCTAATAGCTTCATAAATCCAATCATCTATGGTGGTTTTAACAAATCATTCAGAGATGGATTTTGTGTCATGCTGCGATGTGGAATTCGACCAGGAAGATTTACTGGACCTCGTGGGTCTTTTTTTTTTATATTTATTATATATTTTTTCGACCTGTCTCCCGACCTTCCCTTCGTCTAGAATCCTTCTTCCTAGTATGAGATGTAACCTAGTATGAGATGTGCTACCTAGTATGAGATGTAAAAGAATAACATTAGGGAAAAGGTATTGTAAAAATCTGAGAAAAGCAAGGAACAAATTATCAACCTTTAACCCTTTGCGGCATGGTGGGTCAATATATGTCCCACCTAATTAATATTTATTTTCTCAGTTAGCAATTTCCGTTAGAAATTTTCTAATCTTTTAAAAATAATCTATTTTAGTTATTATTTTTCTCAGTAGATGTTACTACTATACCAGGGCTTAAGTTCATAAGCAAAAAATATTCAAAATAGGATCACAAAAGTGATATCCATGTATCTCGCATTTTTCAATATTTTAAAAATTTTGGTATACAATTTATGATATGTATGATTCTTTTTAATATTCAAAGGTATTTTATTTTGAAAAATCTTAATTGGATTCAATATTTTATAACATTAATTTTGCAGTTGAAATAAGTGGGTTAAAATTTGTCCCACCACACACTTGAATTTCCGCTCAATAGAGGGCAGCACTCTCGATTATTTTTTCTTTTCTTTTTTGCATCTTTTTTTTTTTCGTGATTGCGCTCGCTTTTACATCCGTTGTATGCTCTGATGTGCTAAAATGTCTAGGAAAAAATTAACAACTCAGGAAGCTTTGGATCTTTTTGCTGAATTGCCATCCGATTGCAACTCAAATGCTTCAGATGTCAGTTCTGATTCAGATGAAATTGAAATCCAAGAAAGAATAACTGAGGTTGAAGTTATTGCTGAAGAAGAAAAGGAAGTAGTTATAATTTGTTTCGCTTTTTAAAGATAGACTCATCTATGCATGTGGCACTGTAAATATGGATCGGAAGTATCTACCCAAAAATTTAAAAGACAAATTTATGTCAAGAGAATATATAGACTTTTCAGTTAGACTATCCTGTCTTGCTTGGAAAAGGCAACTGAAATGAAAGAAATTAATAGAAAAGAACTAGATGGAAAGACAAAAAAAAAAAAAAGTACTGTGCCCAAACAGCATTATGTCATATATTAAGAATATGGGATATGTCGACTGATTGATCAACTGAAAGGACTATATGAAATAGACCGCAAAAGCAAGAAATGGTGGCACATGATTTTTTTTTTATTTTACTTTTTAGATGCGAGTATAGTAAACGCATTTATTCTATTTAAGTTTGTTCGCGAACCTGATCATGATGTAAAAACAATGAAAGATTTTCTTCTCTCAGTTATAAAAGGTCTAATGGCAATTGCAGGCAAGAAACAGCTGAAAGAAAACTGAAATCCCCAGTTCAAATAAAAACTAAAAACTCTTTCGTACAACCAGAAAAGAGACTAAAAAATGTAAGTGAAACGGCAAAGAGAACGAGCAGGAGAAGATGTGCATATTGCAGCATTTCGAAAGAAGAACGACGAACATTTTGGGTGTGTGAAACATGTGAAGTGCCTCTATGCTTACAAAAGAATGAAAAAACATGTTTTTCAAAGTTTCATGAAAAATGACTTTTTTTCAATTTTAATCATATATAAATGTTTTTGAATCAAGTGCCAATTTTAATATTTTATTTAGTATCATATGTACGAGTATCAAATTTTAATCTTAAAATAATATTCAAGAAAATAATTTCTTTTGTTCCTAAAATTTAAAAATATTAAATATATGTATGGAAAATGTGCATATGCAAAATTTTACAAGTCATGCATATATGCAATAAGTACAAAATGCATTTTAGTGTGCTTATTATGAATATTTTAGAATGCACGCTTTATTTTGTTTATTCATTCCACATAGGATTTTTTTTCCCTGCTATACACCAATATGCTGTAAGACATGTGCTAGTTGCATGGTGGGACAAACGGTATCCCACCTTCCACCGTAAAAAATAAAAGCGCAGAATTTTTTTCAAGCCTTAAAGGCACTTAAGTAAGTCCATCTGACTTATTCTAAGGCATTTTTTTAAAGATTAAAATATATTTTAAATATGCGTGTCGCAAAGGGTTAACCAATAACAAGTTACTTGCTAGAATAAAATTTATCTGAGACCCAAATTTACTGCTTAGCAAAAATATTTCGAGAAGGTACAATAAGTTATTTCGAAAAGGTATTATAGGTAAGGTAAAGGTACTAGCTCTGTAAAAAAATAATAATACTTTTATATTTGAGTTTGTTTATTCTCTCTAGGGCATTTTATGATATTTCGTATTACCAAGAAACTCGAAGTAAAACTTATAAATTAAAATGTATCCGACAAACAGGGAAAGGCAAAATTCATCGTTCACCTCATTTCATCTATGAAACTTACATATTTATATTTTTAAATTTCCCTTGGCAACATTATTTGTGTGATGCCATTTACATATTGTTTCATTTATTTAATATGCTAATTACTTTCAGGTAACATTCTCTACCAAGATTTTCATAGCTGTTTTTTTTTCAATTAGATAAGGAAAATTTAATGTAAAAACAGTCTAATTTGTATACTTCAAGATCCACATCTTTAAACCTTTTGATGAAGAATCTCTGAAATTTATTAGTTTGAAAAACTGATAAAAAGAAATCAACTTAAATAAATAAGTATTTCAATTTAGTATCTTAAAGTGCCGTACTTCACTCTCATCTGAACTAATTCCAAAAGGGCTTCCATCCTATCCCCAGGATGCACATTTTCTGTATTGTGAACATGAACATTGTCAGCTACACTTATCCTTTCAGCTGTCCTTATTGGTAATGTCCTAAGATTTCCTAAAATATTTCTGATTCTTTTCTTTTACCTTTCTATTGATGAAATTAGAAACCAAAGGCAGTATTCATTACCTTAGTAACTCTAAATTTAGATTTGCTACGTTTGATAGAATAAATGTTAATAAGTATTTATTATGTTATTTAAGAGATTTTGAAGATCAGTTAAAACTTGTTCAACTTATTAAGTAGCACTGCGACGGTAGTCTAGTTCAGTGTTTCTGAACCGCTGGTCTGCGGACCGGTGCTGGTTTGCAACCAATATTCCCCAGTCCTTCCAAATTCAGAAGTATTATAACAATACACCTACCGTCGTTTAAAAAAGAAAAATATTAAAATCTGGCATCTGTGTATGTTATCATGCATACTGCGCAACGCATTAGCTCAAGCTTTCTCAGTGTGTCTGTTTAATTTACGTTTGTTAGTAATAGGGGATTTTCCGTGATGCCACGAACATGTGTTTGTGGTAACGAGGTACTCATATACCTCAAAGGATGCATATGAGTTTTCAGTGGAGAAACGCCTAATATTTTTTTTAAATCCGTTGCATAATGGTAACTGCATTATTAGTGCAATAAACAGGAAGAACTTCTTTAAATAATTAACAAGGAAAAAAACTTAAGCAAATGATAAAGAAGTTTTTTAACCAATTTCAAGTGTTATTATAAATTCCGGTTATTTCAGATGCTGCCACGTGAGTAAAGGAAACGCGACGTGAAGAGGTTGACAGGTGGCGCTTCAGTACAGTAGATCTGAGATTCTCAACCGCTTGTCCAGCGGACCGTACATATTCAGAGGACTACCATTATCACAAAAAATTCATAAAGTAGCGGCCAAAGTGCAAGAAATTCAGCCGACTGAAAATTCAATCGACAAGTTGTTTATATTATTCAGTCTCTTTGAAGAATTATTCGTGTCACAAAATGCCTACATTCGTATCTGTATTTACATTTACAGATCATATTTTTTTAAAAAGTTAATTACAACACTAGGTTAGAAAATATTTATTATAATACTTCACTATTATATTTCTCGGCTTACTGCTACTCTCTTCATATACTTAATTTCAACGTACTACATCACTTCATCGCTACATCTTGCTCGAATTGAACTTCAATTACACCATAATACTTCACCCAGTAACTTATGACTAATTACATCTTTATGTTTATGTACTCTGCTCACTTAATTCCTATCACCAAAGGACTTGCACTTTCTAATAACTGTAATTTACCATGTATTTCATTTTCAGTATTTACTGCCATCAGTTCGAAAGGCCTCCACACCAGATACTTGTAAGATTCTTTTCCCGTCTACTGAGACTAGTTTCATACTAATTTATTCTAATTTTTCTTAATTGTTAAATTTCTTAAACCTTCAAAATTTTTATTCCCATTTTCTAAACTTGACTACTCATTTCTTCTTGAAATGTTTATGTTTTGATTAATGTTTAACAATATTAGTAAAAGCACAATCATTCGATTAGGGGTAGGGCCTTTGGCCCAGGTACCTGGTGCTAGCAATATTCCCTCGTGAAACCTTTGGTCCGCTGTTTTTATATGCAGTGATAATGTGATTATTTTTTATATTTTTCTGTGATTTTTCTCAAAAGTTTATTTACTTATATATGATATTTATACTTATATATAATAATTGCAATACGTTTTTTCTTTGGGGAGGGGAGGAACCCTCCGGTCCGTAAAATGTTTTCGTAAATTTTACAGATTCGCGGCCAAAAAAGGTTTAGAACCTCTGATCTAGCTATCACGATTTCCTTAGTCATAAGGCGTAATATTCATCAGTTTCATTCATACCTGTGGAATAGGATCTAAGGCAAGAGTTTTCAAACTTTTTTAAAATATATTCTACATAAAGGAGAATAAAATATATGTGTACCGTCATAAAAGCATTTTCTGATTCAAAATTAGTGTTTAAAATCAAAGCACAAAAGCATTTTAAAATTTAAATCATTTAGCTACATTCGTAAATAAACATTTTACATTATAATAAAATATAAATATACTGTATGTTATAGTAAAAAATCGTTAATGATTTATAATATTAAATATGAAGATTTATTACTGATGAGGATTACTGCGATGAATGAGCCTGTTTCATTGTAACCACTTTCGATATGTCGGACCTTGTCTTCATCAATTTCAATAGTTAAATCAGATTCAG